TACTTTAGCCAAGTTGAAGTTTTTCAATGCAGCGCAGGATAGCTGGAAGATATACATAATACATGTTACAATAAGTCAGACTGAGGATCCCTTCAGGGCTTAAGTTTTCTGATTATTTTTCTTTAAGGACAGCTTACTCCTTACATTTTAAATTTTAGACTTTGCCCTTGGGTCCTCAAAAGACAGTCACGGGTCCTGGTTCTGTTTCTGCCCTTATGCTACGTCAATAATTTAAGAAGTGGAGACTATTGTTTTTAGATCCAGGATACCATATTTCTGTATATTTTTTGGCGTGTATATGTTTTCCTAAAACACCCCTCTGAGATCAGTGTCCCTATGATTTGCTCTTTGGACTGTGAAAGGAAGGTCATGTCACTTGGGAAACTTTTTTTTTATATTACTGTTTACTGCTTTTACAATATAGATGTTTTTCAGAGAAGAGGACTTGCTTTTGTTTAGCAGGCTCTGCCGAGCACCTTGCTCTTCTTAATATAATCCCATATATACTGCTGTTCTTTTGCTCCTTAATTTTCTGAATAAATGAAATGAAAAAAATGTAATATGTTTTTATTGATTAGCTTGTCATATTTTATGGTTAAGAGGTTTAGAATAATGGAGAGCAATTGTCTTAGAAATTGGAAAAGTGTTGCCAAGTTTCTAGTTTGGGTAGTTCAAAGTGAAAGAAAAGCCCTGCTCAGAGAGAGAGAGACTTTACAAAGTCTGTGGGATTTAAGAAAGTCTAATGTGGTGATCTTTTTTTTAAAAGAACATACCTGCAGAGAAAAATGTCCAGGACAGTGCTGTCAGGAATGTCTGACAGTGGGAAGACCATCTGCTTCCTTTCACCCAGTTGTTGGGTCCTCCGGAGGAAAAAGATATCTCATCTGTGCAGGGCAAAATGACTGAACCTGGAACCTAAAATTGTGAGCCTCTCAGTACGGGGTCACCTCTAAAGGATGAGCAGATGCTGTGCGCTCTACACATGGCAGAAGTCATAAAAGACTCTCACAGACTTCCAGCAGAAACTACTGCGTCTTACACCTGTGGAAAACAAAAGGGAAGTAGGAAATAAATAGTTAATTGCCATGTATTACCAAATAATATTGTCTTTGTCAATCACTTCTGCCGGTAGGTGACAGTGATACAGTCATTTCCCTATCAGCATGCCTTCTGTCCCCTTACAGTTGACTTTCTCCAAACCCTGACTCCTGACCTTTCACCTCAGTCCATGGTTAGTACAGATGATGGATGAGCCTTGTTAGGCTCATAAGATGTGTTGGTGCGAAGGAAAAATGCCAGCAGGCATGTTGTGTTTGTCTTACATTTTCATAAGAGTAACTTGGCTTTAAAACAGACAAATAGCTGCCCAGGCTGAGAAAAATAAATTTGTCATGAATGTTTTGGTCCTCTGCCATTCAGTGTTGAATACTGATGTCATTTTGGCAGATAAGGAAAAGCGAGTAAGGCAGGAGACTCCGAAGGAGGGAAAAAAATGGACCAGTTGCAGCTGTAAAGGAACAGGCACTCAGTTTTGCTGCCTGGCTCTGAGCTCAGGGAATACAGAGCAGCCTGGTTCAGGAGGAGAATAAAGATTCCGTCCCCAGTGCAGTATTCTGTATATCTGTCCATGTTGTGAAACACAGACTTGAAATGGAAAATTAAAACATTAAGATTATGAAATTGCTATGCTGTGATTTATTTATTTATTTATTTATTTTCCCAAGCAGTTTGAACATAAATTTAGTTTGAACTTGTTTCTAATAAGACAAGTTGTATGAACTTGTCATATAAAAATACTGAAGCAGACCTACATGGTTGAGGCTTTTCTGCATCTTTAGGAAGCATCAGGGAATTAATTTTTTTTTTTGTTCAAATATAATAATTTTACTATTTTGCAGGAAAGTAAAAAAAAAAAAAAAAGGAAAGAGTTCACTTTGATCATTAGATGGCAGGGTGGGAAAGAGATTTCTAAGGAAAAACAATTTCTTGCTAATGTAGATAACTTCTGTTTAGGTCTAAGAAGTATGGTTTCATGAGATGTTTTTTAAGTCTAGATGTTTTCATAAAAATACGTAGACAAGTACAATGATTCCAGTGTTAGAGCTCTTGGTGGAATTTTTCCAGGATTCCATAAGCTTGAACTGTGGGCCTGAATTCAGAAGTCCAGGTTGTGAATAGCCCATACAATATCTATAGAAGCAACTTTTTTATGTTGGTCCTTGTGAACAAGGACAAACCAGTGTATTTTGGAAAAAAAATATTTTTCCGTCAAGCCTTGTTATTTCCTGCTTGTTATCATCTATCAGATGTAGTTGTTTATTCAGGAAAGTCTTGCTCTGCCAACCCAGTGGTTTGTATTTCTCCTGTCCATGGTGCATTTAACACTATCACCCTTTTTTCTAAAGGTTCTAGTTGGTTTCAGAGCTTTTAACTTGCTGAAGGATTGCTGCCTTAATAGTCCTCATTTTAAGATGATTTTACTTGGCTTGAAAAACAAAACAAACAGGAAATACCCAGATTCTGCCTCTGAAATTTTGTTTACCACTGAACTGCTTTTTCATGAAGAGATCATGGAAAGATAGTTGTTTTCATACTGTGCTGAGCAAACAAAATTAACGGTAAGCCTTCTCAAATATTGGCATTTTAATCAGCCCGTGTTTCGAATTGCATGCTGTCTCATCATGAAAAGGTTCTAATTCAGTGGTGGGGCCCAGTGACTGACAGCGCTGTGTGAAGAATTCACTGCACAGGGAGCTGCTTTGCTATGCTGAAAGCTCCACCTATAGCTTTGGTGCTGATGCACTGCGCTTTTCTTCAGTAACTGGAAGTGTCCCTATGAGAAGGGAACCCCGGCCACAGGAGTGTTTGGCTGTGTGGCTCGTGGTGTGAATATGTTTTAAATTTGGGAAGCTTGCAAAGGGGGAACTACTGTTCAGAACAAGAGGGTTTACCGAGTTCAGTACAGCCACTATTTGAATGGTTTTGCTGAGAATTCAGAGAGAGATTATTGAATACCTGGGGATAAAATAAATGTTAACTGTTTCTGTGCATTACGTTTCTGCATTTGGAATTACCATTTCAGAGACTGAAGAGGGAAAAGTAAAACAAAAACCCATCACAGAAAAGAAGGTACATATAAAATTCAGGAATATTTGAGGGATCATAATTCTTTTAGCATCTTGGCAACTGATGAAGGGGTAGGTGTTGAAAATCAAGACTACTATTTACCTTTACAATGAGGCCCAGAACTGGTCTGCTACTTACACTGTACTTCCTTCCCTAAACAAGATTCTTATGACCAAACTGTGGAGATGAGAAAGAAAGTTTTTCTTCTTTTTCAGTATTGCTTTTCATTCAGTAGAAATAAAAGCAAGGAAATCAAAGTAAGGCCAAGAAAAGGAAAACAGCATGACAAATTTACAGTAAAGAGTACCAACAGTTGCTAAAGCATAGTGTTTTTACAGTGGCTTGATTTGTGGTTCAGTGTTAGTTGGTACCTTGTACATGTGCAATGGTGTGTAGCCATTTGCATGCCTGGTACCCTCCTGCCAGTAGCATGAAATCAGCTGAAGTGTTGTGGATTGGGGAGCTGGCACCGGCTTATCTCCGGGCAGTCATAGGTGCAACCTATATCCACGTGAGTAACAAACCCTTGCAGCTCCCAGAATTACAAAGTATTTGTAGGGTTGTGTAAAAGAGCCACAAAAATAACTCGTGTGCTGAGGAAAGTGAGTTATAATGAGAGTTTTGAGGGTTTTGGCCTACCCATTTTTCTAAAAAGAAGATTTGAATGTGATGTGTTTATAATGCCGAAATACCTTCATGTTGAGAAAATAGTGTGCTCTGTAACTGAAGAGAGAAAAGATTAATGGCAGGAAGTTAAAGGCATACAAATTTGAATAAGAAATTAGTCCTAATTTTTAACAGTGAGAGGGCACTGAAACATTAACACAGATTAGCAGTGGAGTTGATGTTTTCTACACCTTATGAAGTCTTCAATTCAACACTGAATATCTTTCTAAAATAATTTATTTAGCCGAACAGGTTTGGGGAATACAAAAATAGAGGAGCAGCATGAAATTTAAGGACTTCTGTTACACGGGAGACAATAATTGAAGTAATTGTCCTTCTGACCTTACTTTCTCTGAATTTATTAAAGATAAGTGTTAGATAACAGATGAATCACTGCTCTGAACTGCTAGTTATTTCTATTCTTATACTTGGCATTTCATACATCTACTATTTTCTTATGATCCTTGGTGAGAGAATCAAAGTTTATGATGTCATCTAGTGTATTTAATCGGTTATATAATTTTAATACTTAATTTCTTTAGTGGAATAGAATTTAAATGTTTTCTCTCTCCAATATGTTAATGTCTTCTTGACCTACCCTGATCAATCCCCTCTTTTCCAGGAGTGTGACATGGCTGTTTCAGGTTGAAAGCTCCTCTGAGTCACTGAAGAGAAGCATGATACTTTACTACCACCTGGGGAGGTAACTGCATGGTCACTAGTGATGACCAGAGAGTCACCTCCCTCAGGTGAGGAGCGAAGCATCTTTTGTTCACTGGGCCAGGGGCACTTTCCTTTTGCAGTAGACTCTGACTCTTCTTCTGCCTGACCCTACTAAGACGTTTTAATGTAAAATCAGCGTGAGGCACAAACAGTAGCTGCTAAATACAGATTGTATAAATATTTCCTTGAAATTTTCTGAGTATGATAAAATACCATTCCTCTTCTTGATAAACATCACTATGCACACATTCTAGCATTTTGTAGGTAGTGGGATTGTTTTTCTCTTAATATTAGTGTGTTTGATTCTGTGGGTTTTGACATCTCTATTCTTTTGTCTGACAAATCTGTGCGCTGACTTGTAAAAAAAAATCAATATTGTTTTCCCTGGCACTTTCTCTGCAGTTGAGTTGATTTATTATCACAGTTCCCTTTCCCCTCTTTTTATCAGTGTGTTTCTATTGCTTTAGGGTTGAGTACCTGATAACATCACAGGGTAGAAGACACACAGAGAGTTTCTGTGACCTTATCCCCTGTGTGATCTTGTCCAGTGTGACGGTGAGCCATGGCTATAAAGTGAACAATGATATTATCCAAGCTGCGTGATCAGATTTATGTTCTATTATGTTGGAAATAGAGACAAACTAGAACCAATGAACAATATTTAGATTTATGTTTAAACTGTACTTGTCCAGTATCTCAGTGGCTAAAGGGAGAGTAAACATCCACTGAATAAAACTTAATTTGCCTGCATGTGCTGGAAGAGTCATACAGCCCATAGTCCTCATGGGATTTAAACCAAGCATAAAGGTGAGCTGCTTGTTGCTCCTTAAGAATGTAGCTTTATAACTGTTGTTTCTGTTAGCGACTTATATCAAGGTAGTATTTAAGAACCTTAGTAAAATATCAGAGGTACCTTGCCCTAGGCACTGCATGGACACATAAGAAAAGGCAAAGTTCTCAGGCAGTATTTCAGAACAGATGCAACTGAAAGCTGCAACAGGCAAATATGCTGTGAGCATGTTGACAAGCATGAGCACGGTAATGCAAACAGGGGCCATGTGCACACAGGGGCACTCGGGGAAAGTGAGTTAACTAAGTTTGTTAAACCTGTGTCTAACGTGGCCACAGCATATTAGAGCCACTTTACTCTTGGAAGAGAGCGTCCTCATGTAATGACTTCTGCCTGTTGATTTCCTTTCTCTCCTCAGTAATCTTGGACCACTCCTTGCCGTGCCACTGGGGACCGCCATTATCTGTAGGCATCATGAGAGAAATAGGCTTGAAGGTAGGCTGCAAAGAAGGAATTTCTAAAGGGATTTTTCATATTGGCAGCAATGAGGAAGTAACAAGTGCTTGACAGAGTGGAGGGGTGTGTGTGTGTGTGCGTGTGCCTGCTTGGGGCTGCAGGAGTTGGGAGGCCAAGGGGGGAACTTGGCAGCGAAGTAAACTCCTGCATCTGACAGCTAGAGCAAGGCAGTGGGGTGAAGTCTAATAAGAAAGGCAAAATAATGTGTTATCTCAGTTAGTGGAAAGATACAAAAGTGTGATGATACAGTTAGACAAATGGGGGAGGAGGAGAATTCTAGCAGTTATTAGACTTAATGTGATTTGGAGGTAAGGCTCTGGCTAGACTACATCAGAGGAAATGATGCAAGCAAGAAGTCTGAGAAATGTTGGGTTTGGAAACCATGCCCTTCCACTATTTCCCTTTCTTTCCTGCAGGGACTCAGGAAGATTTGGCAGCAAGACAGTGGAGTTGGCAATAGAAGAAGCAAGAAGACATGGTGGAGCAACACTACCAGCATCCCCAGTGCTGCTGCTCTAATGCAGTATGTTTCTTAATGATGTCAGAAGCCTCAAGCTTCCTTCTGCTCCAGCTGGAAAAAAGTAAGTCCTGGTTGGATTTTTTTTTTTTAAATAATATTTTTTTCTTTTTTCTTTCACTTCTTCCAGTAATATATCAGAGGGACAAAAAGAGGAAGAAGATAGAGCTTGGTAGCTTTGGTCTTTTCTCCTCTTTTCTTCTCCTTGAGAGAAAAATCTGCTCCCCCACCTTCTGCTTTCATTGAAACAATCACACTGGTGCCAAAGTATATAATCTTGGCAACATATATTTAATTAACCTTATTATTTTTATCAATGTCTTGTTTTGTTAAAAGAAGAATGAAGTTATTAACATGTTTTATTTTCCATAGACCCATGCTCATCAATGTTCATTTTACTACCCTGGTTAAATTCTTTATTAAGAGTTAAGCCACTGGCACATACATTTTTTTCTACTTTCTATTGACTCCTTATCATCAGAACTTAGTTCTTTGGGTATTTCCCCCCCCCCCCCCCCCCCCCCCATGTTTTGGAGCTTCCTCAGGAACTCATACAATGTATAGTTTTAGGGGTTGTTTTTTAACATCTTGCTTAAGTATGCAGTTATGGAGAGCATTTATTCACTATCATACAGTGATATCATCTGTCCTTTTTCTAGATATTGAGTTATAGTGTTCTGAAGACACCATTTTATGAGTCTTTTCTGTCTTAATTATGGAGAAATATGCCTTTAAATTGTCCTTAGCTTTGACATAATGATAAATTGAGTTGTTTTTCTTCCCTTATCAATTTTCTATGATTCTTACGCTCTGATTAATATTTATCATTAGCTTTTTGCTTCTTTAATCAGCAAGCAATACTTTCATAGCTGCTGTCATACCTTTTAGGGTAGTTTTAACTGGTAAAGACATCTTTCTTAATTGCTTCAGGCAGAAGCTTTTCAGACTTGTACTGAAATTCTTTTACACAGTTCCCGGTTACAAATCATTTTTTCTGCTTAAATTATTTTCCCAATGGATTTGGTATTTTGTTAATACAATAGCTAAGCTGTTTGGGTGATGCAAGAGTTTGGGGTACAATGATATTAGAAGGTACACAATGGTGTAGCCGCTTGTTCTATGATTTTTTTGTTCTCCAAACTCATTAATAGTTCCCTGCCTACCCATATACATGAGCAGTGTTTTAGCGTCAAAATCATTAATTTCTAAAGTGAGTAATGTTTATGCCTGGCATAGCAGAATGGAAGTAGAATAGCATATATTTTGGTTAACGCAACTATGCAACATTGATTTTTTAATTTTAGCAACAAAAATGCCAAATTTTAAAATAACATGTGATAGTATTCCTGGATTTCTTTTTGCTCAGAAATCCAGCTGAATTTTCAGTTAGCAGAATTTTAAAACTACATCATTTTCCTCTGCCTGGGGAATTACACTTCAAAGATTTTTTGGTTTGGTTTTTTTTTATCTTTTTATCATGGTTAGTACAGATCAGTTCCAAGGTGAGAACAGGTATACCCTTCTTAAGTATCCCACATAACGAGTGAGCTCCTCTCTTCCAAGCAGTGCCGGGACAGAGTCTTGCTGTCATTGAATTATACTTCCTTTTGTTACAGGAGAAACCCTTGCTGTTGAGAATCACTGATACTGTTACACTTATCTGAAAAATGATGTTGATGAACTCATATTTCCAAGTGAAAATGATCAAAAAAGTCTCTCTGCTATTTTTACATCTCAGGTCTTTCAAGATGATTATGGTGTGGGAAAAAGTATCAGACGATTGTGTATCAGAAGGGAGATCCTTCCTGTTTTCCACTGGAAGATGGCATTTTCCAGTTCCTTCTGAGATACCTCAGTGAGAATGGGTGCAACTAGAGGCCATGTGCCATACTTGAAATCTGGGCTGGGGGGGTGGCGAGGGTGGTGACCCACGTCAGCTCTGTTACACTCTCTTGTCAGCCCATCTGCCCCATCTGTTCTCCATTAAGCATCTAAGATGGATAGATAGATAGTTTGGAGACAACATTGGAAGGGACTGTGAATGTGCATGTTGCTGCTTGGCAGACTGTCAGTGTTTTCCTGATGGGTGGAAACAAAGGATGGTGCTTTTTAGGTGCGTCTCATTCTTTGGGAAGCAGACAGAGTTGCGTGGGACAAGGAGAAGGTAAGTCTGTAACCAAAGGGCTTCACTGCTGCTGGTTATAAAAGCCAGCTACAAATGATGGAGGTGAGAGACCACGTAAAATCAAAGGTCGCAATTACCTTTTCCAGGAGATGATTATAGAGAACCTTCCCGCAGGTGTCACTTAATACACGGTCGTGTCTCTGTACATGCTGGGCAGAGATAATGCTTGTTTGGTTTTTATCTATCCAAACAGAAGAGTTATGGATCACATTCTGATGCTTTCAGTAACGTTAGGAGCTACATTTCCCCGTAAGTTAGATCACTGATATTGGTTGAATTATTTGGAAATATGCTACTCAGTCTGATTCTACATGTCCATGTGTATGACTTAACATTATTAAGATCATGTGAACACTCAGTCTTTTCAGTATTAAATACCTGTGTTTTAGTTTGTTCACAAGTAGGTGTCATATTTCTAATATTTCTAATCTGATTTGGTAACAAAAAAAAAATCTAACTATGTGGCTGAATTTATGAATATGTGACAGCTGTGAAACCATAAGAGTATGTGACAATTTTAATGTATTTCTAGAAACAAACCCAGCTTTTGACAATGCAGTTGAAACCTGTGGGTGTCATTTACCTTTTATTGTCACAACCTCACTCCCCTACAAGAATGACAGTAAATGTCTTCCTCTTTCATAGCCTACAAAAGAATTAATTCTTGTCTGCTGTTGCCTGTGATATAATTTTTCAAATAGCTCTAGTGATTGCAGTCTTGAGTGTATGATTAGAAAATTCAGATCATTTAGTTGGAAGACAGTCATATGAAATTTGCAAGCACTTGGCAAAACCAGACTATGTAGATAAAAATAAGATCACTTTTGGTTATATAAATGCTAAAGCTAATAATGAAAAAAAAAAATCCCAAACCTGGAAGGCTTTCATACGTAGGCTGTTCTGAATTTCGAGAACATCACAGAAAATATAATAATTTTATAACACTGCTGGTGTTTTTTCAAAAATCTTCACTGACTACTGACCTATAATAAATCTGCCAGATTGCTTCTGCCACATTTGACACCTAAACTATAGATAATTTTGTAAGATCTCTCACCGAATGTTGTTCTATACACACAAATACAATAATATTTTCAAATAAAAAGACAAAGATTTTAATTACTTGTGTCAGCCTGAGTGTGAGAAACTCTTATTTTTCTTGTTAAATACTTTCAGTGCCTCCTAAGTAGTGATTTTCTGTCCCATTTGTGAAGATAAGGTCATAATTATGGCTTCACTTTTAATTTGGCTTTGTATGCATTTTGTGACAATGGATATTCAATTTTCTAAGTATATTTGGGAGCTGAGATAACTTACCATTTTGTGAAAGACTGATGGTAGGTAGAAGGTTTATACTTTAAGAGAGTTTTATCTGAGTTCAGTTTATCAAATTTAAAAGAGGAATATCTTTGTCATAAAAGTGACTTTAACTTTTCAATAAATATTGGCATTATGGGCTGCTCTCCAGGACCATATCTTTCAAGTGCTTTGGTAGAGAAGCTGAAAAATGAGTAGTACTGTTGCATTAGGTTCTTTGGGTGCATATTGATGGCATATCCCTTCCTCCTGAAATAGGGTTTGGCTCTACACTGAGTGTGCCTGAGGTCAAAAAGGATACTCACAGAATAAGGTGGGATCCAGCAGCTGCACACATTTGAGAACTGAGCTTTTAGTATCTACCTGATCTGAGTTTTGTAGCTTGGACTGAAACATGAATGATCATTAGTTGATAATACCACTAGGATATTATTTAGTAGCAGTTTAGGAATGAGTTTAGAGCCTTAATTCCTAGAGACGAGCGATTATGTTATCTCAGCTTCCATTTAGAAATGTGAGAATGTTTTCAGTCTTCCTAGTGCTGGGAAGTTTAAAACATAGTCTTAGTGCACCAAACTAAATATGGATTTTTTTTTTTTAAACAACCTCATGATGCCTTGGAGTCACAGCAATGATTTCTTTTTTAGCATTTGATGTTAGCCTCACTGCACAGATACTCAGAAAATGTTAAACTACTGTGAATACTAAACACAGCTCCTGGATTTCACCCCCGTGACCCCACCCCTCCTGATCTGTTGAAAAATATCATGTAACAACTGTTTCCTGCTAATTACTCATCTGTGATCTTAACATAAAATTCCAAATTCTGTGCATATAAGTGTTGCGTATATGTTTTAGCAAAACTGCTGATAGGCTGTGAATGAGCTATCAGCCATGTAACTCTTCTGTACATGATATCGTGTATTGCTGCCTGTATTGCTAGTTCTTGGGTAGTCTTGGTGACACAGAGAAGGGACATGAAGTGAAAAGAGAACTCATTAGAGCTGTATAAAAAGCAAAGGCAAAGCAGAACATGTTTTCCCAGTTTGATTCTATTTTTTTTGTTTGATTTTTGTGCTAAACATTTAGAACCAAGGTTAAAGATACGAGATAAAGGGTTGTTAATGTGAATTATTACTGGGAATAACCCTTTGAAATCTAACTCTCTGGAATAACTAGCAGTATTGCTTCTTGATCTTCATTTGTAAGATCAGTTGCCTGAGTTTCTGTCTGTTTGACTGACAGCCCTCTTTTTAGAGGTAGCTCTTGTGAATGAGCTTTTCTCTAGCATCCCATCCTAAAGGTTTCCACGTGCAGTAGCAGAAGTGAAAGGGAGGATGAACTAAATACGGGTGGGTTATTTGAATGGTCCAGAAGTGTGAATGCAAGCCTAGGTGTTAGTACAGGTCTCATGTGGTGTCAGCATGTTCATTTGTTATTGGTGCTATGAGCTCCTTTGCAGGAGGGCACGGTAAGGACACAGGCAGTAACAGAGATGAAAGCTGAAGCAGAAGACAGTGGTGATGTAGGAGACATTGATTT